AAATTAGAATGTTTACAACTGCGCTGTAAGCGCACTATTAGACGCTTCTATTTGACTCTCAGATATGAAGAGCACGCCCAAAATATACTATTTAGCAGATTAGCACCCAGAAAATAAGAATTTTTACAAGTGCCCTTTAAGCACACTATTAGACACTTCTATTTGACTCTCAGATAGTAAGTGCACGCCCCAAAATGTACTATTTAGCAGATTAGCACCCAGAAAATTATAATTTTTACAATTGCGCTGTAAGCACACTATTAGACGCTTCGATTTGACTCTCAGATATGAAGAGCAGGCCCCAAAATGTACTATTTAGCAGTTTAGCACCCAGAAAATAAGAATGTTTACAACTGCGCTGTAAGCGCACGATTAGACGCTTCGATTTGACTCTCAGATATGAAAAGCACGCCTCAAAATGTACTATTTAGCAGATTAGCACCCAGAAAATTAGAATGTTTACAACTGCGCTGTAAGCGCACTATTTGACGCTTCTATTTGACTCTTAGATATGAAGTGCACCCCACTAAAATACTATTTAGCAGTTTAGCACCCAAAAAATTTTACGTTTTAAAACTGCAATGTGACAGCAGTATTTGACGCTTCTATTTGACTCTCAGATATGGAGTGCACCCCACTAATGTACTTTTTAGCACCCCAAAAAATTTAAGTTTGAAAACTGCAATGTGACAGCAGTATTTGACGATTCTATTTGACTCTCAGATATGAAGTGCACCCCACTAATATACTAGTTTGCAGAATTCTTTCCTAAGCTGTCCCTCACAGCGGCAGCATCCTCTCCCTACACTAATAACACCTCATGTGCGTGCTGTGCTACGCGACTCCAGCTTATATATTGAGGCTGGGTCACATGCTGCACTGGCCAATCACAGCCATACAAGTAGGCATAGCTGTGATGGCTTCTAAGGGCACACGAGTCAAACGCTTGTTGATTGGCTGCCCTGCAGTCTTTGAAAATGCACCATTAAATCGCCAAACACCGAACTCCAACCCGAATATACAGTTATATGCCCGTGTTCGGGTCCGGGGTCCAAAATACGTAATGTTCGGTACGAACCCGAACTTTACAGTCTGGGTTCGCTCAACTCTACCTCAACAGTAGAAAAGAAAGCTCTTAGCAAAATCTTAGACAGTTGAAGCTTCTGTAAAACTCTCCAGAATATCTCCAACCACACACTTAGAAGCAGCACTTAGTTGAAACAACCAAGCTATATTAGCCAAGCTAATGACAACAACGCTTATATAACTCTTTAAATCACCACCCACTAGGAATGTTTAACACCTGGGTAGGCCTATGCTTATTTGCAAACAATAGCTAAATAATTAACCAGCAATTAATAGCAAGTATTTAGCTAATCAAATCAAAATGCCTTACCAAATTACCAACAGGAAATCAGACATTGTACAATCAGTAACCTTTTCCTATAGATAAATCTTACCTGTAACAGTAGAAAAGAAAACTCTTAGAAAAATCTTAGACACTTGAAAAATCTGTAAAACTCTCCAGAATATCTCCAACCACACACTTAGAAGCAGCACTTAGATGAAGCAGCCAAGCTAATGACAACAACCCTTATATAACTCCTAAAATCACCACCCACTAGGAATGTTTAACACCTGGGTAGGCCTATGCTAATTTGCAAACAATAGCTAATTAACCCGCAATCAATAGCATGTATTTAGCTAATCAAATCAAATGCCTTACCAAATTACCAACAGGAAATCAGACCTTGTACAATCAGTAACCTTTTCTTACAGATTAATCTTACCAAATTACCAACAGGATATCAGACCTTGTACAATCAGTAACCTTTTCCTATAGATGAATCTTAACCTGTAACAGTAGAAAAGAAAACTCTTAGCAAAATATTAGACAGTTGAAGCTTCTGTATAACTCTCCAGAATATCTCCAACCACACACTTAGAAGCAGCACATAGATGAAGCAACCAAGGTTTTATGCAGGTTTCCCCACAAGAGTGACACCCAGGTGGACCGTGTTGGGCACAGGGACACAAAGTGAACAACCAATACATGGAGACACTCCCATACAAGATGCACAATCTTAGGAGATAATTGAGTTAATTTACTGTATCAACTCAATTATCTCCAAACGAAAAAGGCAACGTTTTTTTGAAAACATTTTTGAAAACACCCCAAAACCATATGGGAACCTCATAAAACATATATCCCCTGATAGCCCCGATCTGAGGGAACAACATACCCAAAAATCATCCAGATCGGTTCAGGGGTTCAAGAGTTAGCTGGAAGTCTCTTTTTGACCGACCGCACACATGGCTTCATGCCCCAAATAGTTCCAGACAATTAGGCCTATTTCGAACAGTCAAAGTACATTCAAATAGTCGAACATGGCCATTTGTACACAAAGCATTGAGTGTAGTTGGTTCCATAGGTTGTATCTACCGAACGGCGCTCCATTCGTGTAATTACTGCTGAACAGGACGAGGAGTGGAAGTCCTACTGGTGTCCGTGCCGTCGAGGGTTTTAGTTCCATACACTCGACGAAAAAATAAAGCTGGCCGCACTCGTATACCAAAATGGCCGCCGCCACGTTTTCATGCATACGAATGCCGACCATCCAGTCGACCACTTAAAATGTTAGGATGTTTGTGGTTTTTAGAGGTGTTAGGAAGGTCAATGAGGTTAACAAGCTCCATGTCTGGGTGGTCAGTCATTCCGTAGATCTTTCGTTATTCGAACGGCCAATGATAAAATAAAAGAGACTTTATTCCAGTTGAACATTTAGATTAACAAAATGTTTAAAGTTTAAAAATTCAGGGACAGAGGGTCTGTCAATGGGGGAAAGTGTACCAACTGCCTACTGCCCGAGTACACCTGAATTGGGGAGTGGGGGCTGGAATGGTGGTGGTGGGGTTGATGTCACAGTTACCAGTGAGGGTGCTTTTGGGGAACGACCTGGGGAGGCTCATGTCCGCTTTTGAGCCCCAGGCCACACAGGAGGAATTATAACCGGTAGTTACCAGGCAACAGGCCCACACCAGAGACTACAGCTCACACCCGGCTCAGGTAAGAGATTGTTCCCTGTCCCTAGAAATTGAGAAAGAGGTGACCACAGACCCCACATTGCAGGTGTACAGAGACAGAGTTACCTGTCGGGAAGGGTTAGAGGGGGGAAAGATATGTGTGGGATATGAAACTACTGTACAGAGAGTCTGAGAAGTTAGTGGCCGGGTGTAGAATATTGCATATTCTATGTTTCTATTGATTATATATATGGATGTGTGGATTGACATAAGTAACAGATGGTATCAATAAGTCACAAGGCTTTCTTTGTCCGAGAGCTCTGGAATGTGGATTCGGGTTTTTTGTCCTTATATGGCTAGAGTTATATGCTGACGTTAGTATGGACACTTCTATATAGTAAGAGAGGGACACGAGGTCTCTCAGTCTTGTCTTGGCTTGGCTCTGTACAACGATGTAACTCTCCCATCAGAAGTCCAGCAATTACCATCTGCTGTTGAATGTCCATTATCCTGTAACATCATTTGTTGTTTTATGTATCCGTAACTAAGAATAAACCTGAAGAAACCGTAAGTCAGATTGTGTATTACTACTTTTCAATAATATAGACATATATTATTGTGGCGAGCATTTGGCCCAAGAATATATATACAAAAGACGTATATATATCAATCAACTGAAGATAAGAAGAAATTAAGAAGATTCTACATTGAACATCCATTCATCTAGTTTTTTACATTGGCTAGCCTGCCAGTCTTCTATTCAAGTTTTGTTCCCACTTCAAGGGGGGAGAGAGAAGAATCGAGTTACAAAGCTATTTTGGAACTGGGAAAACAAACTTGAAGAGAAAAAAAGAATCTAGACTGACTGTCACAGAAGAACTGTGGTTTGTAAGAAAAAGAAAGTTTTCAAATCACAAAGACTGTACAAGACTATTTTCTACAACTGAGAGAAAAAGCACAAGATACAACGTGAAATCTAGAAGCAAGCACGTGGCAGAGATTGGCAAATTTCCAGATTCAAGCAAAGAACTGCGCAGCTGTGTGGATGAAGCAACGAAATAGACAGAAATAACTGATCTGGTGAGTAACATGGAATTCATAAATGATGTTGCAGAGAAAAGTAAATTGCAGTTTGCATTTAATAGCAGCTATTCAGATGCTGTTTTGTGGCAATCTTTATACACACAATGTGAAATTGCCAATAGTGAAATTGACAAGAAATTGTTTGTTAATAAGAAAAAACAAAAGATCAGAAATGTTATGAAACTAGTCTGTACTTACAATGCATTGATTTGTAAACAAAATGCAGGTCAAGACAATTTAGAATCAGCAGATAAAGAAATAGATTTGAATGGGTTAACAGAAGACAAATCAGATTTAAATGAACAGTGTAACAATGTAACAGAGAGAACATTGTCAGAAAAAGTCTGTGAATTAGAGGATAGAGTTGAACTAAGAAATGATCTTATTTGCCAGTTTAGAAATGAAGTTAAGCAAGTGTGTGTTAATACAAGAAAAATACAGGCACAGAATTTAATCCCAGAACCAACTGATACTGAAAATGTATCCTCACAGAGTGATTTGCAGAAATGTAAATTTCAAGACAGAACTGCAGAACTTAATTTGAATATACACGAACAATTAATGAAAATTGTGAAATGTATTCCAGTTTATGACACGTCAGTGGATGCATTTACTAATGCTGAAATGTTTGAGTCAAATGTGGACAAATATAGCCTAAATGACGAACAAAGGAACAGATTGTTTAAAATATGGCTGCCAACGTACATTGCACGTAGACTGACTCCACCCATTAGTACCCCTAATGACGAAGATGGTGAAATAGTCCATGGAAATGAGCGAGACAGATTAACACAATTAATAAAATTAACAACAGGGAATGATTTTGCAGACACTGAAATGTTGGAAAAACTAAAACCACACAAAGGAGAGGATATATTTAGTTTTCTTGTAAAATTTGAAAGTGCATATAGACTTGTTGCTGATTTTCCTGAGAATCAGTTAATTAATGAATTTGTGAAAAAATTTCAAGATCTAGATCCAACTGCAATTGTGTTAGCTAGAGAAAAAAGCACTTTGACAGAAGTAGCTTTGTTCTTGGATAACTTAAGGAGAGAAACCAATAATGAAGGGGTTAAAACGACTTGTGGATTTAGGCAGAGAAAGAAGAGCAGATTTTACAGCCCTCCTCCTTCTTCTTCTAGGACAGAGTGTAGAGTGATACAGACAGCTGAGCCCCTCCCAATTTATTCAACTAAAAACTGTAGAGTTGATAATATAGGGCAAAATATAACTCCTAAAGTTATTTGTTTTTGGTGCAATAAACAACATTATTTAAGATCTTGCAGATATTTTATCCGAGATATCAAATCAAAAGCAAATGAGAAATTAAATTTGTTGATTGAAAATTTTGACAGAGAAAATACATGTGGAGATAAATCAATTAAAGCCTTTCCTTGTAAACTGATAATCAGACAAATAAAAATAATTTTAGCTAAATCAAAATTACGAGACAGACAAGCAATGCAGTGTAACACAGAAAGTTATAAGAATCAGAGAACTTCAATACATATGATCAGTTTAGAGAATAAGCATGGATATGTGTGCCAACAGATGTACACAGGCTGATTCCAGAATTAAAAACAGCACAAGAATAGAGATCTATGTTAGTTTGTTTTAATGAATTGTTAGTCTGAACTGTTTTTTCATTGTTTTTATGTGTGTTATAAGAAAGTATTAGGTTAATTAATTAAAATAAAAATTTACATCAAGTTTGCAAATATGGCAGAATGAAATACACTAATGTAGCAGTTAGGCACATGCAATTTGTTATATTTGGTATATGCGATTATACAGTAACTCCAATCATTTTACAGAAGGAAAAAAACTATAGATTTATTCTTTGTTGCTTCTGAGGTTGATTTAAAATCTTTGATTTAATTCATGAGAATGAGATTTTAATGTCATGACTGATAATGGATTACTATATTTTGCAAAGCCTACACATACATATATTTTGACTACATAGAAGACAAAAGTTTTGATAGAATAAAACCTAGATTTACAAATACATTTGATGTAGGAAACAATATATGTTTTTGTAGTTTGTTTCATGTGACAAAATGGTGCCAGTGTTAGGACAAGATGGCTGCTATAGCTAAAGTATAGTGGAAAACAATATTTTGTTGTAACATCTTATATGTGATTAGGTTATACCTCCAGATTATTAAACAGTTTAAAGGGGGGTATGATTAATAAGGTATGATTAATAAAATGTTCAGAAAGATTTTAATATAAAAGGAAATTTAAAGATTATACATCACATCGCATAAATGTAATGGCCACTAGATGGTAGGTCTCATGAGAAGAAATGAGAATGTTGTGTAGTCAATGTAATTCAATGTTAAACTGTGTAATAATAATGAGATATAAACATTGTAAGCCATTGTATTGATGCTGCACATGTTATTTGTTTTAATGTAGGTAAAGCGTGACAGATCCTTGTGGCAATAAATCAGGAAAGCATTCCTTTAGACAACTGGACATCGACTGTTGGAAAGAGACTTTTCATCTGATCTGCAAACTGTGATGGAAGATTCTACAGAGTTCATTTGATACAGAAGATTAACAGACTTACAAAGAAATAAAAGATTGACACTAACATACATATAAATTCCTAAATATTAATGAAGAAAACAGACAATGAAAAGTTATTTAACAGTTATGACTATTAATACCAAAAGAGAGTACTTATAGCTATATAACACATGGAGTACAATTATGAAAAGAACTATTATATTATTACCTATACATAGGATGAGAAGTATCAGAGGTAGATAAAATATGAAGTTGATAAAATAAGGATCATGGTTACTTAATACCACAAAGATTGAGTTCAATAGTATTTCATAGATTAACTATAATGAGTAATTTGTTTATATCGAGGTGAAGTAAAACAAACAATGGTAACATAAGGAAGAAAACTAAGGAAGGATAATTTATATTGATTAATATTAAGTAATTATATACATTAAGAAAGCCTTGGATATAAGAGTTCAAAGATCCAAGAGGAATTGAATTGAATGGAAAGAGTATAGTACACAATTATATTTGACCTTAGTCTATAAAGGTATGGACTAGGGAGAATAGGTTTCTGGATATGATGGTATCCAATGAATGAATATGTTGTTATAAGTTGTTTTATGATTTCCCTGAGTTTGTTAGACACAGACTAGGAATAAGAGTTTCTGGGCAGTATGACCCCAAGTTTATTTTATTTTAATTTAGTCACTTGAAGTGTACTAAGGAATACGGATTGGTCAGAACATTAGGACAATCCTGCTTTTAAAATGTATTACATTAATAAGTCATCACAATGCTAATGAAGAGAGTGATGATAATTAATTTAAATTATTCTTTCCAAGTTATTTTAAAGTAAACTATGTTTCTATGGAATGAAAAGTTTGTTACTACAAGGTGGAATTTTAGTGAAAATTATAATTATGTAAACAAAAACAAATCTATGTTAGAAAGATTTCTGGGTGGAGAATTTCTAGGACAATAAGTATTGTCAACACCAGGAACATTATTTGAAGAATTATTATAGAACTTCATGGTTGATAACACATCATTTGAATGAGACTTATAAGTAGTGTTGGTATATTTCAGGTAGTGAGAGCCTACTGAATATACAAATTAAATACTATGATTGTAAAGTACTGATGCAATCATCACTAGGTGGTATTAATGGTATAGGAATGTAATTCATGAATACAAATGATAAAGATTTTAAGTTGCTAGAAACCATACGATTCATGGAAATATAATTGGACAGGATATTATAGTAATACATGTATTAGTACTTAAATAATATCAGGTATTGAGAATGAAAATACTATGCTATATGTGTCTGTAGGAATATGATAGTGATACACAGTTATTATTATTTAGAAAGTTCCGATCTTGGATTTTGTTATCTACAAAGATACGACTGTACCAGAGCAGGTAGATCTTTCTCATTGCTTTACATTGTTTATTGGATCAACATTTGTAAATATTGTATTTTATTCATTTATTATTGTTATATGTAAATATTATGTTCAAGTAGTTATGATGTAACATGGATATGGATATCAATACATAGCTGAAACAGAGGGAGTTTTGAAGTAAAGTAAGCATTATGAGGGATAGAAACTCGACCTTCTAAGAACTCTCATATAATAGAAAGTTGTGACTTCATCTTGTTCTATGCTCAATGAATGTGATACAAGTGATGTATGAATGGACAGGTTATATACATTGTGTTATGGTTTTAAAACAAACCATAAACAGAGGGAATGTAGAATATTGCATATTCTATGTTTCTATTGATTATATATATGGATGTGTGGATTGACATAAGTAACAGATGGTATCAATAAGTCACAAGGCTTTCTTTGTCCGAGAGCTCTGGAATGTGGATTCGGGGGTTTTGTCCTTATATGGCTAGAGTTATATGCTGACGTTAGTATGGACACTTCTATATAGTAAGAGAGGGACACGAGGTCTCTCAGTCTTGTCTTGGCTTGGCTCTGTACAACGATGTAACAGCAATTACCATCTGCTGTTGAATGTCCATTATCCTGTAACATCATTTGTTGTTTTATGTATCCGTAACTAAGAATAAACCTGAAGAAACCGTAAGTCAGATTGCGTATTACTACTTTTCAATAATATAGACATATATTATTGTGGCGAGCATTTGGCCCAAGAATATATATACAAAAGACGTATATATATCAATCAACTGAAGATAAGAAGAAATTAAGAAGATTCTACATTGAACATCCATTCATCTAGTTTTTTACACCGGGTCTGAACCGATCCCCACTAGACAGTTAGTGGTACCCCAGAAGTACTGACAGGAGTTGCTGCAGATAGCGCATGACATCCTGTAATCCGGGCATTTAGGGGTGAGCCGCACTAGATACCAGCCCCTTCTGGCCCGGGATTTCCCAAGATATTCGGCGGTATTGCCAGACCTGCGATACCTGCCAGAGAGTAGGCACCCTCTCCCCATACTTGAGGAACTGTTTAGCAGGATAGCAGTAGACCTGGTGAGACCCTTAGCCAAGCCAAGCCCCTCCGGCAAGAAATATATCTTGACGGTGGTGGACTACACTACCAGGTACCCAGAGGCAGTGGCGCTGACCAACATCAATGCGGAAACAGTAGCGGAGGAATCTTCTCCCACATGGGATTTCCCCGGGAGATAGTGTTGGATCGGGGTACTCAGCTTACCGCAGAGATCACCCAACACCTCTGGAGGCTCTGTGGCATTAAGCTGATTGTAATCCCAAACTAATGCTCCAGACGTTCGCAGAGACTCATCGAGATTGGGAGAGATTTATGCCGCACCTCCTTTTTGCATACCGGGATGTGCCGCCGGAATCCACAGGCTTCTCTGCATTCAAGCTACTCTTTGGGAGGTGGGTGAGGGGGCCCCTGGACCTTATCTGAGAACACTAGGAGGGTAATACTAGCCGGGATGGTAACCCCATTGTTCCATATGTGCTGGAGTTCCGGGACCGTCTGGAGGAGTTGACTAGGTCGGCTTGAGAGAACCTCCAGGCAGCACAGAACCGCCAGCGCACGTGGTATGATCGAGGTGCCAGGGACACTAGCTTTCAGGTAGGACAGAAAGTTTTAATTTTAAAACCTGTCCGGAATGTGATCAGCCCTTGCTGAGGAAGTACAATCCACACTGGGTGACAAAGGCCGACTTGGGGAAAGCTTCCTCGGCCAGGGGGATCTGCCAATATCCCTTGCAGAGGTCAATGGTGGTCAAATACTGTCCCCTGGCGATGCAATCTAGTAGCTCATCTACTCTGGGCATTGGGTAGGCATCCGTCACTGTCTTGTCATTTTGTCATTTAACCGCCGATAGTCCATGCAGAACCGGGTGGTCCTATCTTTCTTTGGTACCAGGACTACTGGGGACGCCCAGGGACTATTGGAGGGACTATGACTCATAGCCTTAAATGGATTCTCCAGTGTGTTAGGAAAACATATTAGTTTTCCTGGCACTGCAGGACCCTGTAGTGCCCCTCTCCCTCCCACCCCCCATCCCAAGTTGCTGAAGGGGTTCAAACACCTTCAGTGACTTACCGGAGTCCAGTGCCGATGTCCCTCGGTGGGGGAGACCTAATGCGCATGTGCGGCAATGGCCGCGCACACGCATTAGACCTCCCCATAGGAAAGCATTATTCACTGCTTTCCTATGGGGATTTCAGTGGCGCTGGAGGTCCTCACTTTTCGTGTTCTAAGAACATGGAAGTCCCTGTAGTGGCTGTCTGATAGACAGCCACTAGAGGAGGACTTAACCCTGCAAGCTAAATATTGCAGTTTATGAAAACTGCAATAATTACACTTGCAAGGTTAAGGGTAGTGGGAGTTGGTACCCAGACCACTCCAATGGGCAGAAGTGGTCTGGGTG